GTCCTCCTCTTGACCCCCAAAGTCATTATCTTATCAGTGAGGCCTTGCCTGGATAGTCTTTCTAAAATTTTACCAGTCCCCAAACACTGTTCCCTCTACTACCTTATTTACTTCCCTTGTTAAGACACATCAATATCAAAAAGCCAGAAGTAGTAAAAAACTAAATTAGTTTTTCCCCTAAATGTCTTTCTTTTAAAACTCCTTAACCATGAAGACCATTTTTCCTTAAAAATTATTTTGGTCGTTATGTTTTAAAATTACCCACACACCCACTTTAAAGAGTTAAATAGTTCTAAGACTAGTTACTGCAGGCAGTTTCAGGAGTAACTATTTCCAATTATATTGGATGATTCTTTTGGTATTTCGCACTGTGTCTAAATAACATGCTTATGTTGCTACGACCTAACTTCAATTTTGGGCCTTACTCATTTTCCACTGTGCAGGATGAGCCATAAGCCCATGAGCCATAAGCCCTGTCTTCCCAGTGTCACACCCTGTACATGCACACACACATGCAGCTCTCCCCTTCTCAGTATGATTAAATTGTACTTTTGGTTTCATCAAGATTTGATATTTTAAACTGTAAGCCCTAGTCATAGCTGAGCCCCATAGTACACTGTGATTACTTTCCCTTCCTTTGTAATGTTTTATTTTTCCTAAAGTTAAAAATTGTCATGATTTTGATTCGTTTACTTTTCTAAGTATATTAGTTCATTCTTATGCTGCTAATAAAGACAGAAGACGTACGTGAGACTGGGTAATTTATAAAGGAAAGAGGTTTAATTGACTCACAGTTCCACATGGCTGGGGATGGACCTCACAATCATGGTGGAAGGTGAATGAGGTGCAAAGTCAAGTCTTACATGGGGGCAGGCAAAGAAGTGTGTTCAGGAGGACTGCCCTTTATAAAACCATCAGATGTCGTGAGACTTAATCACTGTCATGAGAACAGCATGGGAAGGATCTACCTCCCATCAGGTCCCTCCATGACATGTGGGAATTATGGGGATTACAATTCAAGATGAGATTTGGTTGGGGACATAGCCGAACCATATCACTAGGTTATTAGCATCAGTTCTATCCAAGACTGTATCAGTTTTGTATATCTTTTTTCAGTATATTCAGTCATCTATATTCTGCAGTTTTCCTTTTCTTGAAAAAGTCTCTCATAGAGTCTTTTTAAATCTGAATGATTGTTTTCAGTTCTCCTAGAGATACCATAGAGGTATCTCTAAGATTTGTTTACTCTCAAAAGAGCATTTGGGCAGTTGTTACAGATATTAATACTATTGTTGTTTTTTAAATATTATTGTTGTTTTTTAAATATTATTTGACCAAATCATGAAAACAACTATTCACTGTAAATTCATTAGTGGTTTCCTTTTATGTGTTATAATCAAGAAAACCTTTTATTCAAAAAATACAGAATGCATTCTTTGTTTTATATGAAACATATTAAGGATTACTGAAACAATCTGAATACATCGATTATATATAGTATTTTTAAATTTTATTCTTTATAGGCTCTCAAAATTAGAGAGATGTGTAATTGCCCACCACTGTCTAAACCAGACCCTCGATTACTATTCAAACTCAGCATGAAGCATTTTCTTGAAGAATCAGAGAAAGAAGACCTAAATATTATGAAGAAACAGAAAATGGATACTCTCCCTGTTCAAAAACAGGAGCAAATACCATTAGCATACCTAGTTGAGAAAAGAACTGGCAATTGAATTAAAATTTATGAGACACAAGATATATGAAGAATGTTGCAGTCCTTATCATTTTATGTTACTTTTAAAAAAATGATGTTTGAAATGAACAAAAAGGATATTCAGGGTCAAATCATGTACATTACAGATATTATCTAAATTCTTCTAGAATTTATTTTTCATGAAATATTGATGTATTTTAATCTATGTTAAAATATCTTCAATGAGGAAAATGTCACAGAATAAATTTATATTACGCATTTTAGTCTATCTTCTACTTGCTTTTGATTTAGAAGGCAGACCCCTAGTGGATGAGAAATGAGAACACACAAGTAGTTTTTATTGTAGAGAAGGTTTCAACTGAGCGTAAACTGGATTTCCAAGTCTGGGTGGTTATGATGAAGTGGGAAATAGTCTGAAGGTATCTGTTTGCAGGAAATTGTTAGCATCGGGGTGGGATTATGTGGAAAAGCGGACCTCAGGATAGAGAATTATCTTATCTTCGCCTGTGGATGACTGGAGAAAATGCTACAGGCAGAAGCTATTTTCCTAGAGAGACACAAGGAGTAGAGTTTGTGGTTCAGATAGCAAAGCAAGAAACGGAATCGGGGGAGAGGGCATTTCCACAGAGATACTGTGTTCCTGGTACACTAATGTCTTAACAGAAGGTTGTGTCATTTGATTGCTCCATGAGATTACCATTTGGGAATCTCTGGGGTTCCCAGAGAAGACAACCATTCTGTTTCTATGATGGTACCATCAAAAGAGCCAGAGGCAAGGCACTGCCCCCAAGTTGACCTTCCTGAGCCGCAGATATCAACGAGGGGACCGGAGGAAAATGACAAGAGAAGAAGCACAAGACACACCCGCAGTGGTGCCCAGAAATTGCTGCATTATATAAATGTGGAAATATGACTTAATATGTATATTCCCAAACTAGTAAAGTCTAGTGATGCTTAGGTTGTATTTCTAAGAAGGACATTTTTCTTGAAACACATTATATTAAATAAATATTTTCTTAGAGAATTACAGAGGAAAGGGACTACTTTGTATTGTATGTCTACTATGAGCTGGGCCCTGTATTTATCTTTTTTCCATAACCCTGCTAGGTTTCATTATTCTTATTTTACAATGGCAAATAGGCTTGGAGAAGTTAAATAATATACCCAGTGTCTCTCACCTAGATAGAACAAAGCTAGATCTATCTGACTACAAATCTGTCCATTTTTTACAGTGCTCAGATATCTAAGAGTAAGCTATCGAAACAAGGAACAAACTATTCTCAGTTATTCATTAGCTGCCCCACATACGGCTACAATACAAGTAAAAATCTCGTAATTATGAAATCAGGGACCACTTGTGTTTCCTGCAGGTTGATTTTATAGGTTCTCAGACTCTACTATCAAAATTGACATGAAAAGCTTAATATGAGGCAGTGTAGGAGAGAAGCTCTCCCACTGCCTGTGAAAGCCTGTGAAATCTCATCTGGGATGTGTCCTGTCACCATTAAATCTTCTTAGACAAAATACCTAGTTGTTAAGACAAGTTCAGAGGCTGTTTTTGTTTCTCAGGGCTTATTATACGTTACTCGTAAGGAATTTCCTGATCTGCCCACAAGACAATCATTGGTCATGAAGAGGTTCACATTAACTATTCTCAATATAATCATTTTTTACACGCCTGGTAATTGGAGTATTTGAAAGACACTCCATAACATATAAAGACACTTGGAGAATGTCACTTAAAGGTAAACAGTAAAACACAGCATTAGATTTTCCTACAGATTTCCTAAGAAAATAGTGTAGCAAAGACCTCTATTTTTTCTTCTATACTGTTGTCACTTCTAATTGTGTTGTTCAGACTTGCTAGAAACATATACAAGTTGACACCATGTCAGAAGGAGCAGAGATAATATCTTTATAATATACCAAAAAGACTCTTTTCAACCAGTGGAATCAAATGCAAAAGAAATGTTACAGTTCAGCTCAGTGTTTTAGAAGAAATTAAATAGCAGTTGAAATACAAGGTATGTATCTGTGTGTGTGTGTGTGTGTGTGTGTGTGTGTGTATATATATATATATATAAATTTTATATGGAAATAAGCTCTATGTTCTGCACTTAGTTGCAGAACTACTTTGTTCCTGTCAATACTTTTAATGTGCCTATAGGATTTAGATGATAGGCTGGTGGTTAACTTAGTTGTTGGGAGGTTGATGCTAATAAATCCCAGACACAAACTCAACCGGAATTTTTTTATTATTCTGATAGTGTAAGACTATCCCCTAAAACTAAAGGACAGCGTGTATGTTTACTTCTATATGCTTATAATTCTTGGCACATTATAGGCATTGATATTTTATTGACACTGTACAACAATCATCTGGTCAAAGGACTGAAAAAAAGGAGAAACAATCATACTCTAAAATCTCTGCTTCTGTAGTTGTGGAACCCTGGACAAGTCACATAAATTCTCTAATCTTCATTCCTTAATTGTAAAATGGGGGCAAAAAAAATTCTCCTAGGTTGACTTGGTTGACCAAGTGAAATGATATAGCATTTAACACAAAGTCTAGAGCTGCAAACGTAATAAAAATTGTTACCATATACTGAATGCATACTTTGTACTATTAGCCATTTTCATACTGCTATAAAGGCATACTCAAGACTGGGTAAATTTATAAAAAAAAAGGGGTTTAATTGACTCAGTTCCACGTGGCTGGGGAGGCCTCATGAATCTCACAATCATGGTGGAAGGGGAAGAGGTACATCTCAATTGGTGGCATGTGAGAGAGATTAAGCAAGAGCAGGGAAAACCACCCCCTAAAACCATCGAATCTGGTGAGAACTCACTATCGTAAGAACAGCATGGAGGAAACTGTTCCCTTGACCTACTCACCTTTCTTGGCACATGGGGATTACAATTTGAGATGAGATCTGGGTGGGGACGGACACAGGGCCAAACCTATCAACTATGCATGGTGCTAAGCATTTTGCAAGCACTGTTGAACCCCACAGCTACCCTATTTATGGTAGGTATTCTATTCAGCTATGCCCTATTGTAGATCAGGGAGCTGAAGGTTAGAGGGATAATGGAAGTTGCTCAAGGTTACATGGTATAGTTCTTAATATTTTTTTTTTACTTGCAAGAACAGAGAATCCAACACAAACCCAACCAAGAAAATTTGTTCCCTCAAACTAACAGAAAAGCCCAGAAATATTCTGCTTCAGGCACAGTTTAATCCAGGGGATCATGATGGCATCAGAGCACGGGCTCTTTTTCTTTGCAGTCTTTCTCAGATGTTCCCTGGTGATGTCAAGATGGCTGCCAGCACTCCCAGGATTGCATGCTTTCCCATCCAGCTCGATGAGTGACTGACTCACACCCCAACTATTGAAACAAAGCCTTTAACACTAATTGCACCCCTGAAGCCATTGCCATGGCAGGGGATGGCATTATTTTGATTGGCTTGGACCTGTCCGGATCCAACACTGGAGCTGAGGATGGGTACGACTCAACACCACCCAAACAGAACGGCTACTGCGCGGTGGGAGAGATGCGACCACTGGGCTTAATGAAGTAAGTGACAGAACTGGAATCAAAACCGTATGTTTATCCTTTCAGCAGGCAAAACAAGATAATTCCTTAACAAATTTTATCTGAAACGATATTTAACCTGAGATAAAATGTAATACAAATGTTATATTGATATGATAGCAATTTACCATTTAAAAGTAAATGGTAAATTTTTTTGTTTGTTTTGTCTTGTTTTGTACTGAATTATATCCTCAAAACCAATCCATGAGATTGGAAGGACAAATGGCATTATTTACTCATGGGGGAGAAAACTAAAGCCTGGAGGAATTAGGCGAGTGATCCAAGTATGTGTTCAGGTAAATGGCTGAACTGGGATCGGAACTGAAGAATCCACTGATTTGTAATCCAGTGTTCTTTCTGCAATACTACATTCTTTGGAGAGGGAGCTGTTACCTCCATTTACCTGGAAACTGAAGCTCAGAAATATTAGTCAACGTGTGCCCGGCACGACTCACCTCTCAGTGGCAGAACTGGTTCAGACCCTCTCATTTTCTGACTCCTTGTCCTCCATGTACTGCCACTTCCGTGAACAAATCTCAGATAGAAAGTGAGGATGAAAAATGTGCATTCCCTTCATCCTTCACTTGTGAACACCAGGACCAACACATCTTTTCCCTTATTTAAAAGCACCCATTTTAATAGTTGATGACAGATGGGAAAAATATCCGTTTTAAGCATATGTATACCTGTGAAGGATAAAATTCTTGTTAATCACCTCATAACATATTTTGATGAGAACCTAGATCAGGCATCCCCAAACTATGGCCCGCGGGCCGCATGCGGCCCCCTGAGGCCATGTATCCGGCCCCCCGCAGCACTTCAGGAAGGGGCACCTCTTTCATTGGTGGTCAGTGAGAGGAGCACAGTATGTGGCGGCCCTCCAACGGTCTGAGGGACAGTGAACTGGCCCCTGTGTAAAAAGTTTGGGGATGCCTGAGAGAATTCTTTAATCTGTAGTAAGATGAGATAAATCTCCCACTTCATTACAGGGAAGAAAACTCTTATCAGTGTTCTGCCCATCTACACTTTGCCCCCTAACCTCCATCAGAAAACTTAGGCTAGTGGCTTCCAGCTTCTGAATCATCCAGGCCTCCTTTTATATTACCTGGCTCTGCCTGCAAGGGGTTTCACACCTCTGAGTTCTATCTTGAAGAGTTGGTGTGTCTAGACTCATACCCAGGTGTTCTCACTGCTCTGGCTGTTTAGGAGACTGTGGGGTGTGGAGCATAAGTCACAGTGCACCTCTGTTTCCAGGTCTTAGGATATCTCTGATATCATCACAGACCAAGCAGGGCCTCTGATCATCATGTGATCTCTGGTGTTACCGAAGTTCCAGCCAAAAGAAAAAAAAAATGGTTGTTTTAATTAGTTTGAGCCGCTTAATTATGTGAGAGAAAATATAAAATTTTTAGTTAAGCTCTGAAATATTAAGTATAGCTGGCAGGCTCCCAATACCATCTTAGTAGACCACAAGGGGCCTGGGCCCTCATCCTGGGCAGCATTGGTCTAAAATAAGATTTGGGTTTTTTTTTTCTTCCTTCAGAATATTAAAGTTAACATGCATTAATTTTGACCAATATATTAAAGTATAATCATACTTTTGTAGGTTAGAAATGGTGGATGGTTTACTTAAGAATTCTGTTCTTCTGTATTTAAGGTTGTATTTCTTTAAGTAACTGCTTTTGCACAGAAATGTTGAGTTTAGTTTTTCCAAATTATTCCTGTCTGATGTTATTGGAGCCTTGAAAGAATCAAGGGCAACATCACTAGTCTCATTTTTTTATTTGGGAAAATGGGATAGTAATATTTGCCCCAGAATTATTATGGGTTTAAATATAGTAATGTGTATATGCTCTGCTGAACATCCCAAATGCTACACTGTGCTGATTCTTAACAACATATTCTATCATGTCTTCATCTGGGCTATAAGATTATTAATTAAGAGAGGTCATTTCCAAAAGGTTGGTTCTGATCTGTTACAACTCAGAATTGGTGATGATCTCTTCCTACTTCAGTGTGAGAAGAAAGGAAACTTTTATTTGTGGCATGTTTTGTTTTAGTTGTGTGTGTGTGTGTGTGTGTCTGTGTGTGTTTAACCTAATTCGGCCAGGTGCAGTGGCTCACATCTGTAATCCCAGCACTTTCAGAGGCCGAGATGGGCAGATCACTTGAGGTCAGGAGTTCAAGACCAGTCTGGGCAACATGGTGAAACCCTGTCTCTACTAAAAATACAAAATTTTATTACAGGGCTTGGTGGCGGGCACCTGTAATCCCAGTTACTGGGGAGGCTGAGGCAGGAGAATCGCTTGAACCTTGGAGGCAGAGATTACAGTGAGATGAGATCATGTCACTGCACTCCAGCCTAGGCAACAGAGGAAGACTCAGTCTCAATAATAATAATAATAATAATTAACCTAATTCTATTAATCCATATGGCCCTTGTCTGGAGAATGTTCTTGATTTCCATCAATTTCTACATTCTGATATTTAAATCTGGAGAAATAAGGCCAGGCTTTTCCTGGAATCACCAATCCATTCACCAGATGATGGGCTGGGAAAATAGGAATTAGTGTTTGTTGAGCCCTACTAAGGCAAGATTCTATAACCTTCCTCTCCTTTGAATCTTCACAGCAACCCTGTGAGGCAAGTTTTATTCTCCTGATTTACAGATAAGAAAATGGGGGTTCACAGGACTGTGTAACTTTATAGAGGTCACACAGTAGCCCAGGAATTTAGCTAGGTCTATGAGACTCAGAGGCTTTCACTGTCTTTAATATGCCTACCCTCACACAAAAGAAATGGGAGCGATTGGCAGGACAATGTGGGAAACATTTATTTGGGACCCCTGCTTTGTTCAAGTGCCTAGAGCATTTCTCCTCCATAGTCCGTGAAACTTTCCACAGTCTCCTCTCTAAACACCAGCTCCCTTTGCAATAAGCCAATCAGCTGACTAAAAGATATTCATGAAAAAGGCCCAGCAGCCTCAGGAACCTACAGTTGACCCTTGACAATGCAGGGGTTAGGGCACTTTTTGGACCCTAATAGCTACCCAAAGTCACATGAGCCACCATCTTTGACTTGAGTGCATTACGAAGAACTAACTCCTCCTTTCAGGAGAACCATTAGGTTGGTGCAAAAGTACTTGCATTTTTTGCCATTTTTAAATGGCGGGAAAAAAAAAGGCAATTACTTTTGCACCAACCTATAGTTTAGGAAACCACTGAGGATTCAAGGTCAGAAGATCTGAGTTCACATCCTGCCTTCCCTACCAGCTGTGGGATCCAGCAAGTCACTACGCCTCTTGAAAGCTCAATTTATCCTTACCTGTATGTTGTGGCAATGGAAAGAGCTCTGTTAGTGTACCTACCCCTGCAAGCTGGCTGTCGGCCTGGGAGCTCCTAGAAAGCAGGAGCTCTGGCATCCCCATCTTTTTCATTCAGAGTCCACAGGAATGCTTGATACTTTATCAGTGATTCCTAGTCTCTGTATCTGGAATGACCCTAATAGCCTCTGTGAAGTAGAAGTTTGACTTGGAAATCAAAATCCAGACATAAAGTGTTATTTACATGTATGTGACAGCTCGTTTGGGAGCAGACGTTTATTGAACAGCCAGAACAGATTGCAGAGTTAACACTCAACAGCTTCATCCAGAACACAGAAATCTGTCGGAGTTGAAATGTGAAGGAAACGCAGGCTGGGAAGACACACCAGTCTTGGGAGGCATGCTTGGCGGTGCTCAGACTTTCTCTGCAGAGTGCCCTTGGGTCAGACTGTTCTGGCAATGAGGTCATTAGTGCTTGGTAAGATCAAGTCCCTAACAATAAGAGCAGTAACAAGAGCAATAATAATGGCCACCACTCATTATTGAGACCTCTTACAAACCAAGCTCTGAAAGCACTTGACATGCAGTAGCTCGCTTGACTCCTGCAACAATTCTGTGAGGCAGATAAAATTGTCCCACTTGATTTATGAATGAGGAAATCGAGCTCAGAGAGTGTGAGTGAGTTGACTCAGGCCTCCCAGGTAAGACTTACCTTGACCTTGCAAGCTCTTGGGTCTCAGAGGAAATGCTATTTGGAGGCATTAAGTGTTGGGAGGTTGGCTCTGGCTGGTTGGATGGGTTGTAAAGCATGACAATACAGTGCCGTGTGGGGAAATGTCATTTGATTTATTTTGTTCTCCTGGGACTACTTCCTCTCTTAACATGACTAGCAAGGTAGAGCATAATTGAAGGTGAACAGAAGTCCTAGATGGGAGAAGACCCTAGTTACTTTTTATGAATGTTTATGATACTAGTAGGCAATAGTAATAGTTAGCATTTATGAAGCAGAAGGTGTTGGGGATGCTACTAAACACTTTGCATATATTATCCAGTTTTGCACCCGCCATAATGCTGTTGTTGCCCAGCTGCATTAGTCTGTTCTCGCATTGCTATAAAGAAATACCTGAGACTAAATTCTAAAGAAAATAGATTTAATTGGCTCACAGTTCTGCAGGCTGTACAGGAAGCACGGTGGCATCAGCTTCTGGGAAGGCCTCAGGGAACTTACAATTATGGCAGAAGTGCAAAGAGGAGCAAGGTGTCTCACGTGGTGGGAGCTGGAGGGGTGGGGAGGTGCTACACACTTTAAAAGCAACCAGATCTCATAACTCACTCACTATCACAAGAACAGCACTGAGGGGATAGTGCTAAACCACTCATCAGAACCCACCCCATGATCCAATCACCTCCCACTAGCCCCACCTCCAAAAAAAGGATCGAGGATTCCATACAATTCAACATGAAATTTGGATGGGGACACAGATCAAAACCGTATCACCAGACAACAACCACTCTTCCTCTTGTTTTTCATTTTGTTTAGGTGACAGTATGCCCTGCCTGCGAATATCGAAGTCAATTGTCTAACGCTGTTCACCTAAGCCAAGGCCAGGTCTAAGAACAGATGTGTAGCTAGATATGGTGAATAGGAAGGAAAGCAAAGTCAAGTACTTTCCATGGATAGCAAATATTTTCCTCCCTGAGAAGAAAGAGGGCACAGAAGATTCTGTTTAAATTGTTTGTTTGCTTATTTTCACCTATGTCTTTTATCCCTGCCTTGCCAGGGATAAAAGATATGATGACCTAGGGAATCCTGGGGATACCAACCCAGAACCCCAGAATCCCAGTGTCACTGGGTTGCTGGGGCAATGCTGGCATTGCCTGCCTCAAAACTTTTCATGAAGTGACATAGTAAATGTCTTTATTATTTATGCCACTATTAATTGGGTATTTTCTTACTTGTTCCTAAAAGTATTCCTACTGATAAAATAGTATTGGTTCCATTTTATAATTGAGAAAACCAGGACATAAAAAAATTAAATCACTTTCCCTCTGTCACCCAGCTTGTAAGTGGGAAGGCCTAATAAGCTTTTACTACTACAATTCTGCCTGGATCCAAGTCTACAGTCCAAGGAATTATATTCCAGGGGTGATAGGTTGGTTCAATCACGTAAGAAGAGCTCTTGACACTGGGCAACTGAGTAGGGAGCTCTCGGTCATAGGAGATACTGAAGCAAAGAAAAGACAGCCATCCAGGAAGGTCACTGGAAGGAGAGGCTCTAAGTAGACAGGAGTCAGAAAGATGGACTGCGTGCAAGATGCTAATGTGTTATAATGTGTTCTGTAATAGAACATGGGCCCAAAGAATAGGCAAAAAAAGAAACTGCGGTCTTGGCTGACCAGGTTTCCAGTTTGGTGATGAGACAGTGCTTCAGACATCTGTGGTCCAGGAATGGGGTTGACAGTGCTGATCCTGGGTAATCAGAACCCACCCCATGATCCAATCACCTCCCATTGGCCCCACCTCCAAAAAAAGGATTGAGGATTCTGTACAATTCAACATGGGATTTGGATGTGGACATAGATCCAAACCGTATCACCAGCCAACAACCACTCTTCCTCTTGTTTTTCATTTTGTTTAGGTGACAGTATGCCCTGCCTGGGCAACTGAGGGTAATGGCATTGAGGGTAATGGCAATGTGAAAGGTAAGGGTCAGGCCTGGATCTGCATGAAAGTCCTAGCTCTGGCCAGGCATGGTGGCTCATGCCTATAATTTCAGCACTTTGGGAGGCTGAGGTGGGAGGATCACTTGACGTCAGGAGTTCAAGACCAGCCTGGGTAGCATGGCAAAACCCCCATCCCTACTAAAAATGAAAAAATTAGCTGGGTGTGGTGCTGCGCACCTGTATTCCCACCTACTTGGGAGGCTGAGGCACAAGAATTGCTTGAACCTGGGAGGCAGAGGTTGCAGTGAGCCGAGATTACGCCACTGCACTCCAACCTGGGTGACAGAGTGAGACTCTGTCTCAAAAATAAATAAAATAAAAATAAAAATAAATAATAAATAAATAAGTCCCAGCTTTGCTATTTCTTAGCTACCAAGCTCAAATTTCCTCTTTGTCAAATGGGAAGAATGGCTTAGGGTACTTCCTAGGGCTGCTGTGAAGATTAAATGAGATAATTGTACACATCTACAAACTGTTTATTGAAGACCTGCTATATGCCTCGCCTTCTTTCAAATCCTGATGTCTGTGTAAGGTGAAAGAGTTTCACAAATTTAAAATATTAAGTATTATTATTTATTTTTAAAAATTAATCTAAGTCCTCTTCTTTCTCCTACCCTACCAAGGGACTCCATTCATCTATTTTGAAATAAATTGAGCTCTTACCCAGGAAAATAGAAGAAACGGCTCCGACAGACAGAGTTTCCAGCAAGACAAATCCCCAATGGCTTCTCCCTGCCACCGCTCAATAATGGTGTTTGCTATAAATCAGAGAGCGTCTTTATCAAGTGCCTTGGAAGCGCTTGGGACTGATTTAGCCCTAGAGTGAGATTAATCACAAATTGCTGCTTTAGAAAGAGTGATGGGTGTGAATTAGAAGGTTCGTGGAGATCATTCTGATTCACCCCAATTGCTATAGATAGCTGGAATTTACAGAACTAAGGCCCTAAGTTTTTAAACATTTCTCAGTTTGAGAAAAATTACAACATCTAAGAGTAGATTTCTTTTCCCCTAATAATATCACAGTGGGATGGGGAAGAATTAACATTTTCTTTTTAAAAGCACCTAACTGTGTGTGCCAGACTGTATGCTTATATCATGTTTTTTAATCCCTATAATAACACCATGAGATAGGTCTGGCTATCCTCATTTATCAGATAACAAAAGTGAGACCCAAATCGGTGAAAAGACTTACACAATGTTATGCAATGCCCAGGTAGCTGAGATGGATAAAATGCAGGTCTGTGTGATTCCAAAGCCTTAGCAAGGAGCCTCTTGGATCATTGATGGCAGATCCCTGGAAGCAGAACTCGACATAGATACAAAAAAATAAATGAATCACATAATGCTTGCTGTGATTGCTGGCCAGCAATGATGCCTGAGACAGTTCCTTAGGACCCAGCTTTAATGAGACTGTCCTGTGATGGCCGCCTCTAATATCTCAACTTTTTTTTTCATAAGATAGAGGATGCATGAATGAAAGAAGGTCCACCAGGAAGAATGTGTCTGCTTCCTCTCTGCTCATATACCGTGTAACGGCCATGGAGGGACATCACTCAGATCACTCTTCAAGAGAGCCCTCTGTGGCATGCATAACTGACAAATGCTCCAGCTGCCACACCTTCAGATCCACAGTAACTGGGTATGTCAGGGGCACTAAAGCTGGGCCATTCCTTCTGCACTTGAGATGGTGTCATGGATGACTGTTGCATGAGGACTCCCTGTTGGCCTGGCCAGAATATTCTTAGAACTGCACTGTAGTCACAGCTCTTCCTACTTCCTTCTCCTTCCTTCCCACTCTCCTTTCTCATGTGTCAGACCCACATCATGGTCTGAAGGCTCTTCCTATCTCATCCTGAGCCCCTCCTTTGCCATGTACAAGAACTTCTCCAATACATCTCATGCACAGCTAATCCCATCTTGGTGTCTACTTCCTGAAGAACACTAATGGAAAGACACAGTGATTCTGTTTCTCCAACCCACATGTCTATCACCTGGAAAACAGATCAATTCTGTGATATCATCATGCAACAGAATACTATAGAGCAGTGAAAATGAATGAATCAGAGACAGAGGCATCAACATGGATATATCTGAAAAACATCATGTTGAACAAACCCAAAGTGTTGCAGAGTGATACATACAGTATGTAACATTTATATAAAGTTTTATAACTTGTCAAACAATGTCATATGTAATTTGTAGATGAGTACATAAAGCATAAAAATACACTAAGGGCCGGGGCAGTGGCTCGGGCCTGTAATCCTAGCACTTTGGAAGGCCAAAGTGGGCGGATCATGAGGTCAAGAGATCGAGATCATCCTGGCCAACATTGTGAAACCCCATCTCTACTAAAAATACAAAAATTAGCTGGGCGTGGTGTACCTGCCTGTAGTAATAGCTACTCGGGAGGCTGAGGCAGGAGAAGTGCTTAGACTTGGAAGGCGGAGGTTGCGGTAAGCCGAGATCATGTCACTGCACTTCAGCCTGGTGGTAGAGTGAGACTCCGTCTCAAAAAAACAAAACAAAGCAGACACACACACACACACACACACACACGAAAGCTAAACCCAAATTCAGGAGAGAGGTTACCACTGGGGAGAAAAAGAAAAATGCAAACGGGTTTTGTATTTTAAGCTGTGTGTGCTTGGTGCACAGTTGTTCATGATACCTATGCTTTTTATATGCCTGAAATATTTCATAATAAAAAATTTAAACATATTAAGTCATACCCAACAAATTGTCTCTAGTGAAAAATGATAAAATAATTTGAAATTGGCTATGTTTTGGGAAATTTTGGATATGTGTTGTTACATGCCATCCGTTGAGTCTTAGTCTACTGTGGCTTTTACTACACCAAGAAGCAATTATTTATTTTTATGTTTGTTTCTGTTCTCTTTCTCTCCCCAACCCTCACTGGACCATGAGCTCTAAGAAAGAAGACTCTCATCTCCTTATTTCTGAATCCCCAGTGGCTATGACAGTAGCAAGGGAGCAATATGTGTTTATTATGTTTTTAATAATCAGGAGAAGAGAAACCAGGGACTGGGGAGAGAGATGGCAGGTAGTACAGATGGCAAAACCTAAGTCACTATTTTTTCAGTATAATCGAAAAAGCAGAGCTTCCACTTTTGTTTGAGTGCTGCTACATATGGGCAGTAGGGCTACAGTGGGGCAGCTGGGGGCTAGGCCAGAGGGTCTGAGGTGTGTGAGGTCCTGTTACAGTGGCAGCCACTTGGTTATATGTTTCAGACAGAGTTGGGCATTATCTTCACAACTTGGAGAGTTCTGCATTATCACTGCTTTTCACAGATAAGGAAACTAAGGGTCAGCAAATTTGTATCTGCGTCACACAAGGCGAGCTGCGGATCTGCGGTGAGGCCATTCACTCAGGTATTCGTGTATTCGTCCACTCAACAGCACCTGCATTCCGGGCACTACTGCGCCAGGTACTAGGATACAATGATGAATGGCTCAGACTGAGACCCACCCCAGGGAGCCCCCCAACTAGCGAGGGCTCAGATGCACAACCACGGCTACACTTGCAGTCACAGACTGGTTCTGGGACAGGTGCTGGTCAACGGGGCCGTGGTGGCACAAGGCAGAAAAACGTCACCAGTGCTGAATGTCAAGGCTTCCTGGAAGAATGACCTCCAGATGAGACCCAGGTGAGGGTAGGTGGAGGGAAGACAGGAGGGTGTTTGGCAGGGGAGGAGGATTATCCCTTTCGTGAAAGAGCATCTTCTCTGAGGCCTGAAGATGAAAGAGCAGAGTGCCAGGGCTTCCTGTGATAGCCAATAGTGCATTCTCTCAGAGTATCCTATTCACCTGCCTTCCAGGCTCCAAGTCCTTGGCTTCAGGGACCTCCCCTGGGCCCCCACGTTACTTCCACACAGACCTACCCATCCCATCTGTGTTCGTCCAGGTCCTCTGAGAAAGCAGAAACAAGATAGGATTAAACATGCAAGAAATCTGTTAGAGGAAATGCCCGTGGGAAAAAATGCAGAGGCCGGGGGAGGCTGGAAAAGCCACAAGTCCACAGTGCAGGCCTGACTCCCAGTGAAGGAGCAAAGGAGGGGAGGGAGGGACAAGCGAAGCGTTTTCAGACAATCCTAAGGAAACTTTGGCAAGGCTGGGAGTCCTGGAGCCACAGTTGCCCAAGAGAGGAGTCCCAAGTCTCCAGGAAGGGCCCTTCCTCAGCATCCCTGCCCTGCTCCTTCATTGGCTGGGGGTGGCCAGGGGCAGTCAGGATGCAGTTTGTGCTCAATTTCAGAAAGCATTTGTGGGGACCACTGGGCAGTCATGCTCCCTGAAGCTCGGTATCTGAGAGGAGTATTCTCCATGGCCAACATACTGCCCTAGGTTTGATATACTCCCAAATCTGGCTTCAGCTTCAGCCCCTCTTCCTGGGTTCTGCCAAGAGAAACAGTCCTGAGCAAAGGTGGCATTGGGCAGTGATGAAGGGCACAGCTTCACAGCAGCCCCCATTTCTGCCACTGACCATGGGTGCTGCAGGTAAGGCATTGATCCCCCCAGTTTCCTTGTGAGAAAGTGTGGATAATAACAGTTCCTGTCTCCTAAGGTTTTTACAGAAGTACTTAAAATGCATGGTAAGTGCCCAATAAATGATATCTATTATTATTTTAATGGATCCATTTTTTATTTAGGGGCCATTTCAGTGCGTTGGTTTGATGGGGCTACATCAAAATGTAAAAGCCCTGCACTCCCACCACTGCTGTGTGCCGAATATACCTGCATGTCACTCTGTCCTGAATGCTTCACCATCTCTCCACGAAGCTGCTCCTGACCCTGAGGTTTGGTTTGGGGTCCTCCTCTGAACCTGTAGCCTCCTTTTCCCACCGAATTTTTTACAATGATTAGTTGCATGTTTTGTTGTTGTTTTCATTTCCTGAAATAAACTGAGAGCTCCTGTGGGGGTGAGGATGATGTCCTGTTTCCTGCCACATCATCAGTGCCTACATGTTGGCTGACCCCTGCCCTCCCTGCCTCAAACCCAGGGCCACTCTCTAGGGTCATGCAGGGCGCTTGCCTGAGAGGAGAGGAGGGCTGCAGTCCACCTGGTGGCTGGGGGCCCAGTGGTGTGCTCAGGGGCTGTGCCTGCCTGAAGGAGGCACAGTGTTCTAGTTTCCATTCATACAACATTGCTTAAAGTGTGTCATATGAGTCTCTGATGGACTGCATCTGTCCAGAGGAAGGTCCTTTTCTTATTTGAGAAAGATACTGTCTTGGTTAACAACAGCTCTGTCAATAAGCCAGGCTGAGAATGTGTGCAAAAGCACCAGCATGTGTCTCACGTTGTGTCAGGTACTCCTGCAAACTTCTGGAAAGGCTTTGATGAGCATTTCTGAGTGTTTCTGCCTTAGCAATATGATGGGTTAGATTCATGTTTCTTTTCTTTTCTTTCTTTTTTTTTTTTTTTTTTGAGACAGAGTCTCACATTGTCACCCAGGCTGGAGTGCAGTGGTGCGATCTCAGCTCACTGCAACCTCCGCCTCCTGGGTTCAAGTGATTCTCCTGCCTCAACCTCCCAAGTAGCTGGGACTACAGGTACCTGCCACAATGCCCAGATAATTTTTGTATTTTTAGGAGAGGTGGGGTTTCACCATATTGGTCAGGCTGGTCTTGAACTCCTGACCTTGTGATCCGTCCACCTTGGCCTCCTAAAGAGCTGGGATTACAGGTGTGAGCCACCACGCCTGACCTTAGATTCATGTTTCTAAGCTCCTCTCCTGCCCTGATACCGCTGAGGTGTGAGGACAAGCGCTGCCCGAAATGGAGTTCAGAATAGTCGCATCCTCTCCTGGGCTATAGTTAGCCTTGCCCATCACCCTGGTCAGCTCTTGCCTCCTCCTCCAAGGAGCCTCCCTGAGCAAGCCTACATCCATCGTATTTGCTTTGTACTTTATATTTTATTAGGTGACTTTGATATGTTATTTCCTTTAATTTTCACAGCAACCTAGTGCTAGACCTGGGTGTTATATTGGTGTTATATCTGATAGATGAGGGAAAAGGAACTCAGAGAAGTTAAATAACATTCCCAAGGCCACACAGCTAGTACAAGGCCAGGTTCAGGCTTGAACACAAATCTAGGCAGAAGAATTCCTACTCATCTTATTTATGCTGCTTATAATGTTTCTCTGCATTGCATATTTCTCTGTTTCTGGCCCCATTTAGAATATAAAAACCTCAAGGACAAGGGACATGATTCCACTTCATTCCATTCTCTCCTGAATGCAGCATGCACACGGTAAGCGCTGTCTAAATGCTGTCTGAGTAACAGTGGAAATCCTTGAGATGCAATCGCATCATATGTCAAGCCCTGGTAAGGACCTGTACAAATACAGACCTCAGTGTATGCATGACAATACACACATTGATGTCTTCCATGCATACACATGGTGCAGCTGGTATGATACCTTTAAGGAAACATCTCTAATTAAACAACAAAAATGCTATTCTGCCTGTGCCTGCTTAGCAACTGTGGATTGGTGGCCAGAGCATTAGCTTCCACATTTCTGCAGTGTGCTCTCCCTGCTCTTCAACTCTCCTCCTCACAGCCCAGGCTCTGCACCTCCTGTCATTTAGTATCTGGTCTTCCTTGACCCCTCTGGCTGGATGCAGGATCCATTTGCTTGGAGCTGTGAGCTCAGCTTCCCTCATGCAAACCTTCCCATCTCTTCCTAGCTTTGGGTCATTCACCCACAGTCTTGGAGACCCAGCTCCCCAGATGGTCCCAGTGGACAGCCCCACAGCCTGTCTCAGATTCTCAGGCCCTACTGAAACACATGGCAAGGACGTACACAGACTCATATACCTGCGAAGCCAGGGACTTACACACGTGAGTCCACATGGCCATCCAGATATGTACATATCCTCCAGACCAAGTACAGAGACACAGATGAACATTTTTGCCCATGGAGACAGAACCATCATCCACATGCAAACCCATTTATGCATGCAGTAATGTGCCCAGGCCATAGATACATGTACACACAGACTCAAGTATGCATACAACCTTATGCATATAAGACTCAGTATGTGAGTGTACATACCTCTTAGAATGTGGATACCAGTGTATGCAAACACCATATGCCTTGAACATGAAGATTTACACACAGCCATGCAAGAGCCAAAAAAGCAGCCTTAGCCTCTTTCTCCCCAGGGTGCCACCCTCAAACAGATTTCATCACAGATCACGGCCTTTCAAAGACACAGGTTCACACCTTCTCCTTGGAGCCA